GGTGCCCCTGCGCCCTGGCAGCGCCCTGCTGTGCCATGCCCCACGCTGGCCCTGGGGAGGTGTTCGCCGGATAAACAGCTGCCCTCCGGGTCCCAGGCCCACAGTGCTCCATTGCCACCGTGTCTCCAGCATCACCCGGTCTCCTCTGAGACCTCTTCCCAGGCCGCAGTAAGGGAGCCCCAAGCCAAGGAGAGGGCATGCCCAGATTAAAGGAAACTGGCCTTCGCCCCAGGCCCGGCCCTGCCCTACCCCGCCCCACGCTGGGCCGGGATGCATCGCTGCCCACCCGAAGCCGGAGCCCAGGACCAGCGGGCACCAGGCCACTGCGCTGCCGTGGCGGGGTCAGAGCGGCAGGGCTGGGTGGCTGGCGACAGGTGGGACTAGAATGGGACCACTTGCCTCTCCAGCCGAGCCCCGTCCCTGCCCCACAGCTCCGTTTTCCTCTTGTTCCTTTCAGGGCCGCCAGGCCGCCTCAAGCCGGAGTCTGATCCCCAACGGCCGAGGCTCCCGCTGGCTGGCAACTCCCCGGGCGTCCGGGCTTGATTCAGCGGCGTTCAGCCCAGGGCAAGGCGGCTAGGGAAGGTCGCATCACTTCACGGATGAGCCCAAGGCCAAACTCCTGTTTTTCTAAATACCTTTTCCTGGGCCCACCATCTCCCTCTCAGAAGCCTGAAGGTCCCGTGGGTTCTGTCTCCTGTTGGGGGCTGTGATCCTAACTGGACCCCCATTAGGGTCCCTGCTCAGGCGCACCCCTGATCTCAAGAGGCAGATAGAAGATCTAATCATATACCTGCCAAAGCACGGCAGGGAGGGGAGGGTTCCATTCGGAGTCCAGTGCCCCGCCCTGAGAAACTGGCCGCTCGCCCCTCAGGCAGTGGTGGGGAGGTGCGTCCCCTTCTCCATTAGGGCGTGACCTGGCACGGGGCGGGGAGGGAGTCAGGCCTGGGTGCCACAAATGCAGTGCGTTTAAGTCTTGTTCAGGGACGCAGGGAGAAGCTCCTTCGTTTCCCTAGACACCAGGCGCCCTGAAGGAGGCCGCAGAGGGCTGGCAAGGAAACATGGACCCGGCTCCAGCCCAGCTACTGGAAGACCTTTCTGTAATTGGGGGAAGATGCACCTCGGATTTCGGAGCTGATCCTTCTTTCAATTCCTGATTCTGTCACCTCTTGCTAAGGATTTAGGACTAGTTACTTAACTTCTCTTAAACCAGCATTATAAATCTGTATCATGTGATAGTGATACCACATTGCCGGGTTGATGGGAGGTTTAAATTAGATATTTAAACAGTGTCTGTCCGAGGAAACCCTTGATGAATGGGAGCTAATGTTTTGCTAGCTCAATGCTGGTTCCCACACAGGAGGCCAGTCTTCCCAAGCAGAAAATACCCGGGGCCATATTAATTAAGGCCTAAGGTTCAGAGTAAGGGAGGTGACTGTCTTGCCCTACTAGGGGTTAATCGTGGCCTGACCAGATGAACTGTCTTGGGACTAACACCCTGTACTGCCACCCTCTCCTCCACACCCCAGGGCTTCCTTCCTTCGAGTCTAAACATTTTCCTGTCTCAGGAGTTGTTCCCATTATGCTGTGTTTACTCAGTGAGCATGGGACAACATGCAGTGAGTGTCAGGACAGGTGATGGATGGGACCATGGAGGCACCAGAGCCATTTTCCAGAGTTTCTGTTGAGTCCACACACATAAGTCTTGCTTAGGCAGGTACATGATTAGATCTTCTGTCTATAGGATAAGGGACACTTATATACAACTCCCAAGGAACTTTAAAAACTTGGAGTGCCCGTGCAGGATGGCAAAGGGTCTGGGATCCCCTGAGGCAAGGAGAAGGCAGGACAAGAGAGAAGCTTGCAGAAGGATGGGGTTGGAGGAGGAGGAAGCAGGCCCGGGGCTAGTATTGCAAATTACCAGAGAGGGACAGGTGGAGACGCTTTCTAACGACCCCCTCGAAAGAGCCTGAGCCCAGACGAAGGAAGAGACTGAAGAGGCCTCCGGCTGGGTGGGCGGCGGCGTCGACCGTTCTGGTTCACTTCCGGGTTCTTTCCCCTCTGATAGGCTGGGCTTCTTGGCACAGGGACATCTTTGGGGTTCAATTCCCTGACTTCCCAGAGAGCACTGGACTCCCAGACAAATCATACTGGCTTCTGTAAGCTCCTTGTAGGGTAGGGTCCACTAGGACCCCCATATCTACCTCCTCCACATCTGAGCAGAGGTGGTTATAATGGTTAATTTTATGTGTCAACGTGACTGGGCCATGGGGTACCCAGACATTTGGGCAAACCGATTATTCTGGGTGTGCCTGTGAGGGTGCTTTTGGATGAGTTTGACATTGGAACTGGTGACCAATGGGGGAACCAGGTGGGGTAAAGCAGATTGCCCTCCCCAATGTGGGGGGCCTCATCCACTCAGCTGAAGGCCTGAAGAGGACAAAAGGCTGAGAATTTGTTCTTTGCCTCAGTCTTGCACTGGGACATTGGCCTCCTCCTCCCTTAAGATTCAGACTGGAACTACACCATTAGCTCTCCTGGGTCCCCAGCTTGCTGACCTCTGTCTACGGGGGACAGGGCTGCTTGTTTCCTTGGGACCTCTCAGCCTCCATAATCACATAAGCCAATTCCTTATGATAAATCCATCTATCTAACCATCCATTCACCTACCCATTCACCCATCCATCCATCCACCCACTACCCACTCACCCGTCCATCCATCCATCCATCCATCCATCCATCCATCCATCCATCCACCCATCCACTTACCCACCCATCCATCCACCCGCCCACCCATCCATTCACCCATCCATCCACCCAGCCATCCATCCATCCACTCATCCATCCATCCATCCATCCATCCATCCATCCATCCACCCGCCCACCCATCCACCCAGCCATCCATCTACCCCCAACCATTCACCCACCCATCCACCTAAACATCCATCCCAGCCCACCCATTCATCAACCCATCCACCCATCCATCCATCCACCCATCCATCCATCCACCCATCCATCCATCCATCCATCCATCCATCCATCCATCCATCCACCCATCCATCCACACACCCACCCATCCATTCACCCATCCATCCACCCAGCCATCCATCCATCCACTCATCCATCCATCCATCCATCCATCCATCCATCCATCCATCCACCCACCCACCCACCCATCCACTTACCCACCCATCCATCCACCCGCCCACCCATCCATTCACCCACCCATCCACCCAGCCATCCATCTACCCCCAACCATTCACCCACCCATCCACCTAAACATCAATCCCACCCACCCACCCACCCACCGGCCCACCCATTCAGCAACCCATCCACCCATCCATCCATCCATCCATTCATCCATCCATCCATCCACACACCCACCCATCCATTCACCCACCCACCCCTGCCATCCGTGCATGTCTCCTATCACTTCTGTCCTGGAGAACCCTGACTAATGTAGCGGTCATTCCCATCTGTCCGTTGGACTCTGTCCCCATCATAAGCGAACCCTCCCCACAACAAGCACTCTTGATTTAACCTTTGCCAGTCCCAGTTAAATGTTTATAAAATTCAAGCCCTTCACTGGCTATTCTTCCAGGTGAGGCAGTGTTGCCAAAGGCACCGTCTTGCCTTTTCATAGCAAGCTAGGTCTGCCCAGGGCACCTGGCCTCCATCTCTGCACCCCACCTTGTTCCCCCATCAAGGCTTGGCGGCTCTGGGTGCGTGGGGAGTTTTACTACGAAATAGCTCTAGCAGTGCCATTGACTCAGAAGGCACTTGGCAAACAGACTCACCATTTCTATTAAAAGAGACATGGAGTCTTAAAAAATATTAAAATGACTAAAATCAACAAAATAGCTGCTGTTGCTGAAGGCCTGCTGGGAGGTAGGCTCCAAGCCATGCGCTTTGCACACGTGACATTGAGCCGCCCAGCTCCCCCCATCCCCTACAGTGAAGACACCGAGGCACAGTGAGCTGATGGCAGCTGGGCAGACGCTGTGGTGCTCGTCCTGGTAACAGAACCTCCATTCCACTCACCCCTTCCCAACCGTATGCCCTCTGGGGAAGGCGGGTGCCTCCTTGGCCAAGGGCCATCTTGACCAGCCTAAGCCAGCTGTGGCCATCACAAGGTCATCTTGTGAACGCGGGCCATGGTTTCAGCCTTGAGATGTGGGGCTGGTGGGGACGGGTTGGTGGGCGGATTCTGGAGGGTTTTCCCGTCCCTCAGTGGGAGGACAGAGACTTCCCTCGCTGCTTCTTGATGCTCGCATGTCAGCTGTACTGCCCAGAACCATGACAGCCGTTGTGGGCACCCCAGGGAGAAAGTCTGAGGTGAAAAGCTGACCGTGATTAGCCAGGCATAGTGCTGTTCACCCAAGGCCCCACTGACTCAGGAGGCTGATGCGAAAGGATTGCTGGAGCCCAGGAGGTTGAGGCCAGCCTGGGCAACATAGAGAAACCCTCTCTTAAAAAAAAAAAAAAGAAAAAAACCAAGTTGATGCCTGGGGATCCCCAGCGATGCTGTCTTTGGACCCCTCAGCAGGCGAGACCAACCCCCACTTCTTCAGCTGGGCCGCTGGGACCAGAAGCACTGACAGCAGCGGCGAAGGCTGGATGGAGAACCAGGCCCGCCACCTCTGGGGCCAGCCTGACCGCGCCCTTGACCATGGCCATCCTCTCTTGGAATGTGGTTTTCCTATGACGTGAAACCGTGGAAGGAGAAGGAAAGGGAAGGGCTGGGGGCAGGCAGAATCCTGACAGTCAGATCTGCCAAGAACAGTCATCGTTCATTTCCACAAATATTTCTTGGCATTAGGCAGATATTGAAGAACAGGCTGTGCAAGATTTATAGACGCAGGGGCAGCTGGAGGGACACGGGAGGGGCTGGGTTTACCAACAGCGGCAGCACGCAGCAGACCCATCTTGGCTGGAGCGTGCAGGGGCCACGGCCTGAGGAATGGGGGCTCCCGCGGGCAGACACAAAACTCAGAAAATGCCATTTATTGTATCATTTTAATACCGGAAATGCCAGACCAATCAACAGGGAGGACAGACCAGACACAAATGCCTGTGCTCGCGACACGGACAGGAGGATCGTCACGGCTCAGGGCACACATGCATTTCCTTAGAAACAGGCAGACAAAGAGAGCATAAATACCACACAACAGCCAGGCTCAGGGGACTGCGGGCCACAGGGGGCTGCGCTTCAAAGGCAGTCAGAGGCATTAAATACGGGACCTACACATTACACTCCACTTCACCATACATAATTTATATATTAAAAGAAAGGGGACCACAGTATCTATACGTGCAAGCGGCTGTGGTGGAGAAAATGAACGGGAGGGCAGCCATGCACGGGAGGGGCTCCCCGTCTACCCTCCTGACGCCTCGCCCCACCCTCCCCACAGAGTCACTTGGGATCACAAAATGCATGGGCCGGCCGGGGCGCAGCCTCGGGAGGTCCTGCCTGGTCTCCTCGGCATGGACCTCTGGGCTCCCCATGAGCCGGGAGGTGCCTGGAACCAAGAACACTTGAACCCTGCATGTCATCACATCCCTGGGAGTTGCCCTGGAAGGGACCGGGCCGGGCGTGAGGGGAGGAATGTCGCATTGGTCAGGCGGAGGAGGGAGGCGCAGCCGCCGGGCCGGGCAGGTGCGACGCATGCCCCAGGCCTGGGGCCCGGGAGAGCAGGAACGATTGCGGGGCATCCACTCTTGCAAGCAAAGCTTAAACGGCACGACAAGCCTGTGTTTCTCTGCAACTGTCCAGGGGCCGCTCGCTCAGAACTGACTGGCACTGCTGGGGTCGCACTGCAGCAGGCGGACGATGGAGGGGTCGCTCTTGGCACCTTTGATGAATTCTTCCAAGGACAGTTTGCCTGCAGGGGACGAGAGACATCAGGATTAGCCAGTGCTCACTGTTCTTTATGCTTCCAGAGAGGACGGGGACAGCTCTCAGGTCAGGGATGCCCCCTTTGTTCAAAGTCCTGAGCCTTCTTGAAGCTGCACGGTGTCTAGTCTCCATTCACTTTACAGGCATTTCTGAAAAAAATCCTTTTTCCTTTCCCTGCTCCCTACAATACATCAGGCACCTCAAAGGGCTTACCCAGCAGCTCAGCAGGACATAGCTGATGAGGGCCATTTAAATCCTTTTCGAAATCACCCCACACTTTGCTTATTAAGGAACATGTACATTGTGCAGAAAAATGAAGCATTTGCCTCTAACCCAATGGGTCCTCCCTGGCATCAGTGTAGACCTGCTGCTCAGGCTTGGGGTACCGAACTCATGCTCTGGACTGTTGGCCACGCAGTGAGAGGAAAACCTAGAAAAAGACTGGTCATGCTAAGGAATCAGCTGCCCCCTCATCCTCCACATCCAATGCTGGTGACAACACATTCCCTCTCCCAGGACACAGACTCGGTGACTCCACGCTGGGCGGAGTGGCCTCTGGAGGCTGGTGGCCCAGGGCAGGGCTCCATAAGGCTGGCGGGCCAAGCCGGGTGCGGGGAGGTTTTCTGACCATCCGCTCACCACAAGCAAGATAGGCTAGAAGGATTCTGCCCATTCAGACATGGCCTCAAGGGCAGGAGGGCAGGAGGGGGAGCCTCTGGCTCCGGCTGGTGGGGAAGGATGAGGTTTGAGGTTGGCTGTGTCCCGGCAGCCTGGGTCCTGGGGCAGCCCCTCCATGTGTCTGTCTGAGGCTCCGTGCTGTCAGCTGGAATCACTAGGACACTCTGCAGAATGTCTGTGCAGGCAACACAGACGCATGCAGCTAGGCCCAGCACAGGGGAAGGTGCGCAGGAGGGGCTCTTGGCTCTGGCGCATGGCAAGCCACCAACATTTCCAGGTCTCAGGATCTTCGTCTCGAAGGCGGGATAATGGGAACACCCTTCTCAAGGGCACCTGGGAGGATGCATTTGAGGACTCAGCCCAGCACTAGGATGGAGGACGCCCCTGCCCAGTAGGGCCCTGCTGGGAATTCAGCCCCTCCAGTCCACTGGCAGGCAGGGACACCTGTCCTCATGGGACCCTGGCCCAGGCTCGGGCAGGCTGGCTTCTTCCAGGGCACGAACGTGATGCCTCTGGGGCCTGGGCAGCCTGCTGGCTCCAAGGGAGCCCAAACAATGCCCAGGCTAAGGGGTGCACAGGGAGAGGGAGGGACAGCCAGGCCCTCAGCAGACAGTCCCCAGGACCCTCTGCCAATGGAGACAGCAGCTGCCAGCCTGAAGATTGGTGAGGACCATGGTCACCCCCCACACTCCACCTCTGACCACTCAGGGCAGCCAGCTGTGTGGTCATCTCCTCGGCTAGGTGTGGGGCCTCAGAGTCCATGGCCCCAGCCTCCCCATTTCCCGTCCCTGACCCCAGGCCCTCCTGTCCCAGGCCGAGAAAGAGCGGGCCAGCCCAGATGGACCTCCAGTCGGGAGAGCCAGAGCTGCCTCAGGACGACTCTGAGGCCTGCAGAGATGCCGGGAGCTTCTGAAGGCTCCACTGGCTCCTCCTGATGGAGGGCAGGGCAGGTGAGAGGGTTGCTGAGCACAGCCTGTCCCACATGTGCGGCCTGACAAGCTGAGGAGAGGGCGGCTTTAATGATACTTGTGCCCTAGAGAAACCCATCAGCCCAGCCCAGAGGCCTGGAGCAGCCGTGTGCCTTCCGGGGTAGCCAGGGAAGTTGGGGCAAACTCCAGGGCCCCATCACTCCTGAGCAGTCCCTGGAGGAGCCTTGAGGGCTGAGGACCACCCCCTGAACTGGCTCTGGCCCCTGACTGCAGCCCCACCTTCCCGGTCACTCTTCCCTCCTTGCCCCAAGCTCCAGGGACAGACGGGTCCCCTGGGCGCACAGGAGGAAGTGCTTCATCAAAGCGCAGACATTAGCAACGACCATGCCATCCAAATTCCCAATCAACCTAGAAGATGCCCTCTGAAGAGGTGGGCAGGGCCAAGCCAGGTGGCAGGTTCAGGCAGCGAGGAACCGTGGATGGCTTCCCCAGGGACACTGTGAAGTCGGGAACAACAGCCACTATTTGTGGAGTGTGAGCCCTGCTAAGAGCTTTAAGGCATCATCTCGCTGAAACCTCACAACCCCGTGGGACTGGATTCACCATCCTCACGAGGAGCGGACAGCCTTGGGAGAGTGGCAGCAGGTGCCCTGCTAGGCTGGAAGGTGGAAAACACACTTCCCATCAGCCCGAAGGCAATGCCGGGCACCAGGCAGGCTTGTTTGCTGTGTGCAGATGTTTTGAAACAGTGACCTGGCTGCCTGGAATGCTGTTTGCTGCCTACAGCTCCCCCACACCCCCTCTCCTGCTGGGGTCATGCTTAACTCACCCAAGGGCTGCACTCCAGACTTTCCACAGCAGCTTCTTGGGCATTAGCTTATCTTTTAATCCCCAGCACAACCCAGGGAGTGTTTTCTCTTCTTAAGGTTGTGTTTCTTTATTGTTCAAAAGCAAAGCAAACCTGGTGCTGTGGCTGCTCTTGACAAAGCCGGCAAGAAGAGCAGAACGGGAGGACCCCACAGCCGCCCCGACCTCACAGCCAATGCAGAGGAGGGCACTCGAGGCACAGCCTCGTCACCGCTGCTGCCACCCGCCATCTTGAGACTTGCCCTTCTACAGTGGACTGAGTCCCCACAGAGCTGCCGTAGGCGGACAAGGCGGCCGTGTTCATCCTGACAGTTCCCCTTGGACACTGGGGCCATCTGGGCAGCTTCTCTCAGGATGACAGTAAGAGAAGCATGGCCAGCACCCCAGGACCCCACCATCTGGGATCCTTTGATCCCAACCCCTCCAGGTTCACGGCTGCCAGCATGCTTGCCTCCCTGCCCCTAAACATTGTACCCACGAGAATACAGGTATGCCCTGTTCTACGAGTGGGGAGACGGTGGCTCAGAGGGGCCACAACATGCCCAGCATCACAAAGCCTTGTCACAGAGGGACCAGGACGCAAGCCGGGTGTCCCTGACTGCATCCTGCTCTTCCCTGGGCATGGCAGGTTCCAGGCAGGTCGGGGGCAGGGGTGGCCCTCAGGAGACCAAGAAGCTGCAGAGGGGAGGGGGCGCCCCAGACACGTTTTGCCACCACCGTGGCTACACACGCAGCCCCGCCCCCACCCCGCCCTACCATCGTTGTTGGTGTCCATCTGCCTGAAGATCTTGTCCGTGCGCTTCTCTGGGGTGGACTCGTCCTCCGGCATCTTCATCACAGACGACACCATCTTGTAGATGGCCTGCGAATGGGGACAATGACAGTGTGCTCAGAGGCCCAGGAGCTCGGGCGGGCGCAGCAAGGGTGGGCGTCTGCTCAGTCCACGACGAGGCTGGGAGAGGTTAGGGGCTCCCAGTGGTCTTCGGGACCCCTCCCCCGTGGGGAGAATGTTCCCTAGTGAACCTCACGGGTGTCTGTGTGAAGTCCAAGAGCAGAGCTGACAGAAGGGCTCTACTGGGAGGGTGAGGGTGCTGCTATCTCTGCCTGGGTGGTGGGGGAGGTAGTGCCAGGAAGGTGCCTAAGTGTCACTGTCGGGGGCTGGGAATGCTGAGGGAGAGTGGTGGTCACAGATATGTGAAATTCACCACACCGCCCACTGAGCTGTGTGCATTTTACTGCGTGGCTGTTACCCCTCAGTTTAAAAGAGACTGAGCCCCTCAAACTCACAGGGAAAGCCCCATCACCAGCCCCGACAGGACAGGAACCGGCAGCACTGGAGCCTCCATGGCCTCTTTACAGCACTGCCAGCCGAGGGCTCAGCCTGGCTGCTGGTCTCTCTGCGTGTCTCTGCCTGAGTGACCCAGCCTGGGGCACGTGCCCCTGTGCTGCTGGTGGGTGTACACGGGAGACAGTGATGGGGCAGGCGAGTGGCCACTGAGCAGAGTGACATGCGTGGGGAGGGGCAGCACTGCTGTGGGATTTTCTGAGCACTCCGTGTGAAGGAGGCTTGATAGTCTCATTCCTAAGACAAGAGACCATTTTCTCATTTTGAGAAGGAGGGAGAAACCAAGTGTCCCATGAGAAACAACACACAGCTAGCCAGGGAGCCATCGATGGCGCTGGGGGAAGCCTTTCAGGGTTTGGGGACTTGGTTTGGGGGCTGTCCCGTTTGGACAGAAGTGGCTGCTCCTCACTAGCTCGGAACAGTTCTACCAGGGCCTCAAAGTTCTGACCAAGCCGCTGTGCAGCCAGTGACAGGCACACCTATTTGCAAAGGGTAAAGGTTACCACACAGGACACGATGGGTGATTCCTGGGAAGCAGAATTCTTACTTCTGCCACTGCGTGAAGCTAAGAGCCAGAAAGCGACGACGGAACCAGAGTTCCCCAAGCCCATGTTAATTTACTCTGACGGTGTGAAAACCATCTACGTGGGAAATGGGTCGCTCACTCGTGAGGCGGCCACTGCTGGTGCAGGAGCTCACGGATTTGATACCTGCTACTGGAGGCCCACCCTGAAGTTCCGCACCATGGCACCCCCCCTTCTGAACAGTTCCATTTTTTTCTTGTTTTATTTCTGGTCTTTTTGGAGGAAGGGTCTCACTCTGTCGTCACCCAGGCTGGAGTGCAGCGGTGCAGTCATAGCTCACTGTGACCTCGGACTCCTGGGCTCAAGCAATCCTCCCACTTCAGCCTCTCAAGTAGCTGGGACTACAGGTGCATGCCATTATGCCCTGCTACTCTTTTAATTTTTTATAGAGATAGAGTCTCACTATATTGCCCAGGCTGGTCTCAAACTCCTGGGCTCAAGCGATTCTCCAGCCTCAGCCTCCCAAAGGGATTACAGGCCTGGCCGTGAGGAGTTCTAGAACTGGATGCTCCTGGGCTCAGGGAGGCACTCAGGGGAATGCCAGGGAGGGGCAGCTCTACTCTCTCTCTCGCACACCTAGGTACCTGGCCAAGTGAACAAAACTTGGTTTCCTTCTGAAACATGGCCTTGCCTGCTAGAGCTGCATGAAGGCAGAGAGACGCCTCCCGAAGTGACGTCTTTCCCATGCTGGGCTGATTCTCGTGATCATTAATGCTTCAGTTTTACTGGATGACTGCGCATTCCTGGGGACATCACAAGCTATCTGTTGCATTCTCAAATCCAGGGCTTTCCCCAGGTCTTGGCAGGTACCTCTTGCAAGTAACAATAATATAATTCTTGGCCAGGCACAGTGGCCCATGCCTGTAATCCCAGCACTTTAGGAGGCTGAAGGCAGATCACCTGAGGTCCGGAGTGCGAGACTAGCCTGGCCAACATGGTGAAACCTTGTCTCTACTAAAAATACAAAAATTAGCTGGCTGCGGTGGCGTATGCTTGTAATCCCAGTTACATGGGAGGGTGAGACAGGAGAATCTCTCGAACCCGGGAGGCGGAGCTTGCAGTGAGCCGAGATCGGGCCACTGCACTCCAGCCTGGGCGACAGAGCGAGATACCGTCTCAAAAAAAAAAAAAAGCCCTGGGCTGGGAGCTGGGAGCTGGGAGGGGACCTGGGCCCCCGCGTGGTGAGACCCGGGGCCTCGGGCGCCGGTACCTGCACGATCTCCAGCATCTCGCTGCGGCTGATGTAGCCGTTGCCGTCCAGGTCGTACATGCTGAAGGCCCACTTGAGCTTCTGCTCCAGCTTGCCCCGCGAGGTCACGCTCAGCGCAATGATGAACTCCCGGAAGTCGATGGTGCCGTCGCCGTTGGTGTCGAAGGTGCGGAAGACGTGCTCGGCGAACTTGGAAGCGTCGCCGTAGGGGAAGAAGTTGGCGTAGATCTTCTTGAACTCGTCCACGGTCAGGTGGCCGGTGGGGCAGTCCTTGAGGAAGCCCTTGTACCACTCCTGCAGCTCGTGGTCGGTGAACTCCGTGTTCTCCCGCAGGTCCTGCAGCACCTCGGGCCGCAGCTTGCTGTTCTGCTTGCCCATGGCGGCTGGCGGCGGCGACTACACCTGCAAGACAGGAGGTTAGCCGGGGACGCCACCCACGGCCACGGAGCAGGGCTGAGCCATGGGCCGGAGAGACCACATAAGCCCATCGCTGTGCAGGCACTGCGATTCAGCAACTCCCGGGTCCCCCATCGGAAGGCATGCCACTATTTTATGGACCACCAAGAAGGCCAAGGGACCCTAATTAAATCACGACAGCCCACCCTCACACTGCGGGACATATTCTCCATATTGGAGAATGTGGAAATGTGGGGAAAAAATACAACTTAACATCAGTGGAACAGGGCATCATCCGGTGCTCACCAGGGGTTGTACAAGAGGCGAAGATTAAAAATCAGTTCTTAACTTTCATCCCCCTCCTCAGCTCCAGGCAAAGTGGCCACCTCAGCCGCATCCCAGACTCTTTGGAGCAGTTCTTCCCTCTTTCAGGCATCACATTATATTTTTATCTTTAGAATAGGTGTCTAGAAACTTTCAGGGAGTCACCCCCCAACCCTCTTTGTTTATTTGTTTTGAGACAGAGTTTCGCTCTTGTCGCCCAGGCTGCAGTGCAGTAGCAGGATCACAGCTCACTGTAACCTCTGCCTCCTGGGTTCAAGCGATTCTCCTGCCTCAGCCTCCTGAGTAGCTGGGATTAAAGGCACGCACCACCATGCCCAGCTAATTTTTTGTATTTTTAGTAGAGACGGGGTTCCACCATGTTGGCCATGCTGGTCTCGAACTCCTGACCTCAGGTGATCCACCTGCCTTGACCTCCCAAGGTGCTGAGATTACAGGTGTGAGCCACTGTCCCCAGCCCACCCTCTTTATTTTGCCTTTGATAAACTCCCCTGGGTGGGAGGAGGATCTGGAATTAGCTCTAGGCAGTAAATGATGCTCTGAATGGAACCAGGAAAAAATGAGGCACCTGTGGGAACCAGGAACTGCTCTGCTGGAAACCATCCCCCAGGGTGGTTCTCCACGAGGCCTGAATGCAAGATTGATTAACCGCCATTAACACGGCTGCCACTGCACCGCCTCACGTTACTTTCTTACATTCACAGTTAACATATATACAGGGCATGATAATTTTTGAAGTACATGGAAGAATGAGAAATAAGATGTCTCCTACTGTAGCCCCAGTGGTAACTACTTTGAACTCTGTCTATGTTTGTGAATCCCAAACAGTAGGCACCAGCTCTCCATTATGAAAGGTAAGACAGACCACCCACACTGCCCACCACTTCCTTTCTTCTCTGCCTCCATCCCAGGTTATTTTTTTGAGACGGAGTCTTGCTCTGTTGCCCAGGCTGGAGTGTGTAATGGCGTGACCTTGGCTCACTGCAACCTCCACCTCCTGGGTTCAAGCAATCCTCCCAACTCAGCCTCCCAAGTAGCTAGGATTATAGGCGTGCACCACCACGCCTGGCTATTTATTTATTTATTTATTTTTGTATTTTTAGTAGAGACAGGGTTTCACACTATGTTGGCCAGGCTGGTCTCAAACTCCTGACCTCAAGTAATTCACCTGCCTCGGCCTCCCAAAGTGCTAGGATTACAGGTGTGAGCCACCACGCCCGGCCCATCCCAGGTTTTATAGTACATACGTGTTTTTGTTTTTACTTATCCTCTCTATATCAATCAATCAATTAATTTATTATCTATTTATTTATTTATTTATTGAGACAGGCTCTCACTGTCACCCCGGCTGCAGTGTGTGATCATGGCTCACTGAAGCCTTGACCTCTAGTGCTCAAGCGATCCTCCCACCTCAGCCTCCTGAGTAGCTGGGACTACAGGCACACACCACCACACCCAGTTAATTTTTTTTTTTTTTTTTTTTTTTTGTAGAAATGGGGCCTCACTATTTTGCCCAGGCGGCTCTCAAGCTCCTGGCTTCAAGCACTCCTCCCGCCCTGACCTCTCAATGTGTTGGGACTACAGCCGAGAGCCAAGATGCCAGGCATTTTTACTTATCTTTATGACTTTATCTTTCAAAATTAGTCACACACATTCCCTTTGACCCAGCCATCCCACTTCCAGAAACATCTGATGACACTCCCACCAGTGCAAATAATCTGTGCAGGCGGCCATTGCCTACGTGGTCGGTAACAGCAAACTACTCAGGTGCCCATCTTATGTACTCATAAGAAATAATCTTCAAGGTGTATTTCTTTTTTTTTTTTTTTTTTTTTTTGAGACGGAGTCTCGCTGTGTCGCCCAGGCTGCAGTGCAGTGGCCGGATCTCAGCTCACTGCAAGCTCCGCCTCCCGGGTTTTTACGCCATTCTCCTGCCTCAGCCTCCCGAGTAGCCGGGACTACAGGCGCCCGCCACCTCGCCCGGCTAGTTTTTTGCATTTTTTAGTAGAGACGGGGTTTCACCGTGTTAGCCAGGATGGTCTCGAACTCCTGACCTCGTGATCCGCCCGTCTCGGCCTCCCAAAGTGCTGGGATTACAGGCTTGAGCCACCGCGCCTGGCCTTCAAGGTGTATTTCTATGTGGAAAGAGAAGCTGCACAACAGTATGCAGAGCTTGTTACCATTTATGAAAAAAGAAGACAAACATACGTGCTTGTGTGTGTTTGTGCTCTGGAAGGGCTTGTGAGGAAAGGATAACATTGGCCGGGGAGGAGAGATGGCTGGGTGGACGTGGGCCCTGCGGACTTTTTATTAAGAGAGAAGGATCCTTCTCTCCTCCTGGCCAGTTAAGCCCAGCTCTGGATGTACAGCCACAGGAGGCCAGCCTCTCCAACTGCAGTTTGCCCCAGACAAGGACAAACATGGCCCCTGTTTCGTGGAGGAGTTGAGCAATCACATCAGACCTAGAACAATGTGCAGATGGGGGACCCCTGCACCCCCTGCCTCCACCATCCAGGAATGTGACCCACCCTGGGGCTTGGGGATGACGCCTGCCAGCATGCTTCAAAGGGCTCAGAAAAGTCCTGGTTCTAACATGCAGCTAGTTCACTTTGGAAACTCAATTAATTCACAAGATGAAATGGCCATAGAGACTTCTACATGAAAAAAAAGGGAATGTAAAATCAAAAGATCACTATTACCAAAATATCTGACAGAAGAGAAAAAACAACCAAGATGCTACTGAGGTTTTTGGTTTGTTTGGAGAGATAGGGATCTTGCTATGTTGCCCAGGCTGCTCAAACTCCTGGCCTCAAAGTGATCCTCCCACTTCGGCCTCCCAGAGTGCCTGACAAGACTGCTATCCTGTTGGAAGCGCTCCGGACCTGGCTTGGAGATGTAGGCTTCCTCTGGATTCTGCTGTCACTGACGGCTCTCGGGTTTCACCCAGGTGAGCTCTGGAGTCCTTCCCGTGTTGCCTCAGCGGATCCCAGACAGCTCTGTGTCCAGAGACCCCCCCTCCGGCTGTCAGCGCTGTGTCCCCCAGAAATGCACAGTGCCCAGGGCATAGCTCACTGGGGCATTTCCAATTCCTAGGCCCAGATGCATGGGTTGAATCATGTCCCCGCTAAAAGATGCTGAAGTCTTAACTCCCAGTATCTGTGAATGTGAAATAGGGTCTTTGCGAGGACCTATTTGCAAAGGTAGCCTGAGGACCTGAGGGAACCTTGACTGCCGCTGTGCCCCGACGTGGTGGGAACCCTCCTGACCACTGAGTTGAGGGCCTGGGCCATTGTGAAGGACCAGCCTTGCGTGGCACCTGCGGGAGAAGCCACAGATGGACAGCAGAAGGACAGGTGGAGGATGGACGCCCAGCCGGAGGCCCTGCAGCACCCGTGGTGGCTTCTCCTGTGCTTTCTGCCCTGGCCCTCAGGTTGCCATGTGGGGCCACTGAGTTGGCAAAGACGCACACGCGTGCAGCCCATGGAGCTCGCTGGTGTTCACGTGTTACTTCCACAAACAAGTCCCGGTGGCACCGAGCCAGACTCCAGGGCGCAGGGGAAAGCACTGAGTGTGGACTTAGAGCCAGCTCCACCCATCCATGCTCGGGGGACCTCGGGGAGGTGGTCAACTTCCTGGAGCTCTGGACTCCCCCCTGAATAACGGAAGGCAGGGTGGTCGTGATGATGAAGAGGAGGCCTGGGGCACCCAGCCAAACCGCATGTGGCTCCTTCACCATGCAGAAGCTTTTCCAGAACCTCCTGTGTGTCAGAGGGAGTGCAGACTGTGAACAAAACTCATACGGTCCCTGCCTCGGGGGTCGACGCCACACGGGGAGCACGGCGGTGAGGAGGAGAGGGGGGGTGGCTCATAGGCGGGGCAAGGATCTGGGGGTGGCTGCCCCAGAGAACCCCCAAACTGATAGAACTTGGCAAGTGTCCTAGGAGCGCTTATAAGGACAAGGAATAACTGGTTCTTTGGGAAGGGAGGGATGGGGGTGGGGCACCTGGGAGGTTGAGCTAAGCTGCAGAGCAGGCAATGACCTCTCAGCCCCTCCAGCTCCCGGAGTCAGGCCAGTGAGTGGCAAAACCTCTAGACAAGCAGCTGCAGCAGGTTGCCTGAGGCTCCCAGGCAGCATGAAGGCCACACCCAGCCCAGGGCCAGACCTCTCCGAGTCTGCAGAACCAGGCAGGGGTTGACCCACAGGGCTGTCCCGCTCCGCGCTATGTCCCCCAGAGCACTGAGACTCAAGATGGGGCATCCACAAACCCTGCACACCTCCGCTTGGTCAGTCCTAGGCTTCAAAAGGGCGCCCATTTTCCCATCCCTTCATCAGCTCAGCTGCTCTCAAGGCTTTCTACTGTCCACACTCCTCTTAACTTGTGGCATTCTTGCAGCCAGCATCTGGAGGGGAAACCAGGGTTTGTCTAAGGCATCTCTAGTTCAGCCTCCTGCCTGATGCTGTAATAGCAGCAGCGCACGTGCAGAATGGACCAGTGCATGAGGAGGCTTCATTCTGCACCTGCTTGTCCTCACTCCTCACTCCTTTCAGCTGAAACGTGATGACGTTCCTCCCGGCAGCGTGTCCGTGTGTGGTTTAAGGGGATGGCATCGTACTCCTCTCTGGCATGTGGCCAGAGAGAACCAGCTGTGAGCAGAATGAGACA